CATAGATTTTATTAATAGAAGCACCAATCGGGGAGGGAGTTAAGAGGGCCGCTGACTAAACTCATCAATTCCCGAAGATGCTACACGTTTAGCCTAGGCCAGGATTGTCAAACTTTATTAGCTGGGGCTGGATGGAACCCTCTTCTGGGTAGTTTGATCCATATTCGCAAATTTTGCACCAAAGTTTCAATTGCTAACGGGTTGAAAATGTCTATACTTTTTCAAAACAAACTATTGAGGAGAAATTTGCCTGACGGACAAAATTTACTAGCGGGCCGCCCGCCACTACCGGCTTAGGCCCGACTTGCAATTGGTGAAAGTCTTCCATGGGTCGGCTAGGCTCGTATAGTTTCCTTGAGGTACCGATCTTTTCCCCACACAGATATCACAAATAAAGACATTTGATTCCTTCGACAAGTCTGTTTTAAGAAGTAAGCCAATACAAGGAGTCTCCAGAAAACTCTGCTCGGGTAGATGGTTATATTTCCATGTTCACTTTGAGTAGTGGTCATGGATACATGGCAGGATGACAGGCCGAGTTACCGGTCCTCAAACGAAGCAACTCCGTGATGATAATTCTCTATCTCCACAGCAGAAATTACACGCATCTATCTGACACACATATTACAGAGAGATTTGTGTTTCAAAAAGGATTCTCGTTGCCACCCAAAGTTTGGGATACTACCATTCCCCAATGTGAAAAGGTAGTACTTCCGATCACAATGCTTGGTCATACGATTGCCTGTGACCCCAGTCAAATGACCAGACTTTACTTGGGATGAATGCAATCCTTTGATAGTTTTTGGGAATGATCAATTTATATCCTTGATGAAGGCGCAGGGAACGCATAAATTGCCCCTTTTTTATCGCTCTAAATCCCGGACATTTTAACAATGTTCCCGAGGACGTCTATGGAACGTTGGCAACACATGAAACGTTTACTGAACATTCATTAAACGTTATGGTGCAACTTAGGATCATTCCTTGGTAGCTTGGGACGTAATAGCTGGAACGGAATCCATGTAAACTATTATCTGATTGGAAAGAAAGTTCTTGGAATTTCTTGAATATCCAGTACAATTTTTTTCTGCTGTGGAGATAGAGAATTATCATCACGGAGTTGCTTCGTTTGAGGACCGGTAACTCGGCCTGTCATCCTGCCATGTATCCATGACCACTACTCAAAGTGAACATGGAAATATAACCATCTACCCGAGCAGAGTTTTCTGGAGACTCCTTGTATTGGCTTACTTCTTAAAACAGACTTGTCGAAGGAATCAAATGTCTTTATTTGTGATATCTGTGTGGGGAAAAGATCGGTACCTCAAGGAAACTATACGAGCCTAGCCGACCCATGGAAGACTTTCACCAATTGCAAGTCGGGCCTAAGCCGGTAGTGGCGGGCGGCCCGCTAGTAAATTTTGTCCGTCAGGCAAATTTCTCCTCAATAGTTTGTTTTGAAAAAGTATAGACATTTTCAACCCGTTAGNTTTTTCGTAGCGCAGCCGCCAGAGTTCTATTGGAATGGCATCCATAGTTTGCATAAACGTTGGCGTGAAGTGATAGAGGCCAATGGTGATTACATTCATGATTGAGATGATTTTGCTTTTAAATAAACTGGGTTGTAATAATTGTTCATGAAATTCCGAGAACTTTCTTTTAAATCAGATACTTAGCCAATAAATAACAAACAATACTTAGCCAAAGAACTTTGGATGCACCGGTTCCATAATTGCAACCTGGAGGGACATGCCTCTTCTTTTATTCGGGTGCTACTGAAAGGCGTTCTGCAGCGCCATGTCGACTTTTTTACGGCCCAACAGGGACCGAACGAATTAGATTTCAGGAATTGTTGGATAGAAGGAATTAATTATGAATTACCAGCCATACCAACATGAGAAGAGGAAGGATGTGACACCAATTTCATGTCTACATATAGCCTCCTTCCACTGAGTAAATGACTACGTTGGACTCAGTAAAGCAAGAGTTACCCATTGTCACTTTATGGACACCCTGTACATAATGACGTACTCTCCTAACCCTCTTGCCATCTTTTACACCGATTGCTAAAACCGCCGAGTGCATCACTATATGAAACACATAAAGATTTCAATGACATTTTCAACTTACAACACTCACTTTAGCAAACCAAATGGCCTGAAGCTCAATGAAGGCAAACATCAATTTTTTTACCTGGAAATTCACGTGCAAAGTTGAAGATAATTCGTAAGGAAAGAAATGAGTCAGACATGGTCGGGAAAACCTCAATAAGAATTCTATCATTTACATTTTGCTCCCAGCTTTGACCTAAATTCTAGGCATGTGTTTCAATGGCATATTTTCTCATTTCGCCTTTTAGGACTACTTTCCACGCATCATAATGTTCAGTCTCCTTGATTTAATTATTGACTATTCTTTTGGTTTCAAAATCATCTAGAGGGACGAACACGGAGTAATTTGTTAATTTATTCGGATATCTTCTCCGGAATATGTGGCTTTAATCAAATCACCACAAATAATGCCGATTTCAGAAAAGGTTGAGGGGGGGGGGGGAGTCGGGTGAAGTAATCAAGGTAGGACACATGATTTCTCAAAGCGGGTCGATGAGTATCTTGCTGCATTCCTGGAACACTTGGGCAACACCTCCTTGAAGGTGTCCAATATACCACCATTCATCTGCATATGCCGAAAAATAGTCCGGAAAATAAGACTAGCGATCGAGGAAGGAAATCATTCTAATTAACAACAGTTGAAGCATTGCCGCAGTTCTTCAGCAATAGAGATGGGAGAATGACCTTGAAGAGGACCTGGAGATGCTGCATGTGTCAAATGACGATGGGAGAACAGAGATGGATGGTAGATGGTGCGTGGCAGATATGGGATGATGAGTAGGGAGAAGCTCTGAAATATTTACATAAATATGCCCTTAAAAATTCCAAAATAAACATTACATATGCACAAAAGTGGGGAAATATGCAAAAATATGCATTTATATACCGGATTTCACCATATAGCCGGCCTGATCACTGGGAAGCAAACGAAACTTCTCATGTTTAATCCCGTCTGGCCATAGAATCAGTAATGAATTGTTTATAAATTGTGCTATCGTTGTATGATTGACGTCAGGATCGCGAAATCTAAATAGACGATGTCCACGGGATTCCCCTCATCCCTCTCTTCCGTTGCCCAGTCGTAGAATTCGAGCAAATCGGTGAGATAATTTCGACACCTCCTAAAGCCGTGCTGAGAGTCCCGAATGAGCGCGTTTACTTCGAGGAAATCCAAGAGATGGTCCCTTAGTTTGCTCTTCATGATTTTCCCTGAGATACTCGTGAGACTCACCGACCTATAATTTCCTGGATGACTCTTTCGCTCTTCTTAAAGATGTGTACGACGTTTGCTAGTTTCCAGTACTTAGGTACTTCCCCGCGCGAAAAACTGCTTTCGAATATAATTATTAGCGGAACCGATATTTCTCTCGCGGTTTCCTTAATGACTCCGGCAGGAATCCCATCGGGGCAGGTCGCCTTGCCCAACGACAACTTCCCTATCGTATTGACGATCGTCTCCTCGGTGATGGAAATATCCTTGATGCGCGCCGAGGTCACCTCCTCCAAAGTCGGTGCCGGGTCTGATTCGACTGTGAAAACGGAAGCGAAGAACTCTAAGTACGGGGTGGACAGAAAGTCCCTGACGATTTCAAACCTTTATTACGAAATAATTTTTTAATCAATACCAAGGTTATTATACATCAATTGAAAGCTTAACTCATTAGGATTTTAACCCGTGTCGCAGAATTAAAATCGAAGTAGTGGCAATTTTTTTATCCGCCAGATGACGAGCCGACCCACTTTTGAGATAGCGCACTTCGCTCTTTCCCGCTCAAAATTGACAGGCACTCGTGAAGCATGTCCACAGCGCAGCACGGTGTGCTCTGGTATGCAAAAGTTGAGTCTGCAACTGAAGTGCAACGTGAATTCAACGTCCAAGTCGGAGATGCTCCCTCCAGAGGCTCTATTACTGACTGACATAGAAAGTTCGTCGAAACAGCTAGCGTTAAAGATCGCCATCGCAGTGGTAGGTCGTATGTCTCAGAACAAGATATTGGAAGGGTACAAAATGCATTTCAGGTTGGTCTTTCTGATCCCTTTACCTGCGTCGCACTAGTGACCGTTTGCAGATGCCCAAATCAACAATCCATACAGTTTTGAGAAAGATATTAAATCTTACTCGCTTAGGAATCGGATCTGGGACACCATCGCGAACGTAAAGGCAATGCTACAGGACATGTGGAGGAAAATGGAATACCGACTCGACATCTGCCACTAATACAGTTCATTTCGAAGTTCATTAAGGAGAGTTTTCAATGTTTCAGGAATGATCATCAATTTTGGGCGGGAATCGCCACTCACTTTTGAGATCGGGCGCACGATCTCAAAAGTGAGTCGGCGCGCCATCTGTCGCATAAAAAAATTACCACTTCTGCGACAACGGCTAAAAACCTCATGAGTTATAAATTTTCAAGTGATGTATAATTTTGATGTTGATTAAAAAATGGTGTCGTAATAAAGGTTTGAAATCGTCAGGGACTTTCTGTCCACCCCGTATAACTGGCCATATCCTTATTATTAATACTTGCAATCAACTATCCCTCTTTTCTTTCATTAGCGGCCCGATCGACTGTTGACACCTACCACTAGCATACCGATGAAAAGCCTTAGGGTTCTTCTTAGCATTGCTAGCTACCCGTTCCTCGACCTCCCGTCGAAGATCTAATTTCCCACTTCAACGTCCGCATGATCCTCCTATATTCCTCATAGTCCGTGCTATCTCCCGTCCGCTTATTCATACTTTTTCTCTGGACCTACAAGCAGACACCAAGGCAACTCAGTTCAGCAAAGAGGCTGAAGATCGCATTGTAAAGCTGGAAAACAGTAAGAAAATCGTATCCTCTGCTTTTTGTAAAGAAAGTCTATGTAGGACTATGAAATAAGAAAAGGATGTTGATAGCTGTCCAGCTCCTGATGAAGCGGGAGGGTGAACTGGAGGCACAACTGGCAAAAGTGAGCATTCCAGTTATAGCAGCAAGTACTTTTAGCACCCAGAGCACATCAGAGGGAGGAAAGAAAGAGGAAGAGGAGGATGACATCGATCTCTTTGGATCTGATGATGAGGTTAACCAGTAACACATTTGCAAGACTGTGTTTTCACATAGGTTTTTCTTTATGTGTGTTTACTCACTTTGTTTTATTTCTATTAGGAAGATACAGAAGCTGAACGCATCAAGGAGGAACGTTTAGTTGCATATGCTGCAAAGACATCCAAAAGTATGCTTATGTTTTTTAAAATTGTTTTGCAGTCTTGTTGGCAGTGCATATATTTAGTTGGCTTATATTGTTGATTGCGAATTTTCACCTGTATGTGCTTGCACTGTGTATCTTTTCATTCAATGTTAACCCTCGCTGCTATAAGCGACTTCAGTCGCCTGCGGCTCTATTACTTCTTCAAAGCATAGGCAAAGAAAGGGTTAAAATGCTCTTACTTGATTTGTTGAACACTGTCACCCACAGAAAAGTTTTGAAATCCTAAATCGACTTTTTGAATGTTTTTCAAAGTATGAAACATCTAGTGCTTCCTTTCAGCCTTTGCTCAATGGACAATTCCTGAGCCATGGTATTAACTTTGTTAATGTGCACAGAGCCTGCCCTTATTGCCAAGTCAAATATGATCCTGTATGTGAAGCCCTGGGATGATGAGACAGACATGGCTGAGATGGAGAAGCAGGTGCGAAGCATCCAATGTGATGGCCTTCTTTGGGGTGCTGGTAAGTATATAGCACTATAGGATTTCAGGAACGTGCTTCAATTTTACCAATGACTTGAAATTGATTCTACCCCAGCCAAACTGGTTCCACTTGCTTATGGGATCAAGAAGCTACAGATTTCCAGTGTTGTTGAGGATGATAAGGTTTCTGTTGATTGGCTCCAGGAACAGATTGAAGCCTTTGAGGAACTGGTTTGTAAATTCTGCAAATTCATTTTCATTTCCAGAGTGAGAGAATGATTCTTTATTGCTAATGCTTGTTTCTATGTGGCTTTTCAGGTCCAGAGTGTGGACATCGCTGCATTCAATAAAAATATGAAGACAGCCTGGTTAAGAATTGAAGAATAAATTTGATTTTCCTGTTTGGAGATGAAACATGTCTAATTTATTTTCAAAATTATATTTTCGGCAATTGAAAAATATACCTTCTCGCCATTGAAAAATGCAGTAGAGAATGGCCAAGGCTTTGATATGACTTCAATGTACCAGGGAATTGACACAGTTCTCAGAAACTTTACTAACATCCATAAGAAACGTTTTAATGTAATTTAGGGCTTGCTCACAAAGTAAGAGTTGCGATGACATTATACGAGGTGCAATCAAAAAGTTTCTGCAAACATTTTCTGGAAAAGAGACCATTAGACTTATTTCAGAGAAAATTGGTACGCAGAGGGGGCAACACTTAGTCCTCGATACAGCCTCCACGTGATTCAATGCATTTCCTCCACTGGCAAATATTGCAAGGATGCCATTGAGTTATGAGTGAGTTTCCTGTTCATGTAGCCACTTCTCGTAACACAATATCCCAATGCACAAGCATAGAGTGTAGGGAAAAGTGGGGGGGGGGGCACGGGAACTTGGATAATGTTCTCATGCATTTCTGGGTCTTTTTTTGTATTTCTTTCGTCTTCTTTTCTTCTATTTAGCATGACGGATTCATGAATGTAAAATATGGAATCTAAGTGCCTTAAGACTGATTTTTGCTGCTTGAACTAGGAAGCAAAAACCGAAGCATAGCAGGAGGAACGCTTCATGCAGAGATACGACAAGTTCCATAAATGCATCGCTTTCTTCGAAAGTATTTAAACCCAGTTTACAGCCGATTCAACGAGAAAGCGGGAAACCACTCCATCTCACTCCAATAGGGAATACTAGGATGATAAATGATTCATATTGTTACGGTTCCGTGCGTGCTCCTCTACTGGTGGTGGGAATCACAACACTGTAGGTGAGGGCTGATACAAATCAGGGTTTATTAAAAAATCAAGGCAAAGCGGCCAAGATCGCACCAAGGGGATAAAAGGGATAAGACCTCGTCGTTGAGTGGTTAAGCTAGAACACAAACAATAGTCCTCGGCTAATCAATCAATGATCCTGGAAGATGACGATCGGGATATCTACACCATGGGACGAAAGGATCAGGGAATCGGGAATGTCTAGTCCTGAGGGGCGAGAATTGTCAGGAGACCGGGAATGTAAACTCCCGAGGGATAAGAAGGTTCAGGACGTCGGGAATGTCTAATCCCGCAGGGTAAAGGGGTAGAGGCTTATCGCCCGTGGACAATAAGCGGAAAGGATAAACAAGTTTCAATTAAGATTTGTATTTTCAATTAGTCATATGGTACCATGTTTGACTCACATTTGTCTGACTTGGGCTTTTCTCCTGCCTTCCTG